TGAACGTGCAGTTCCACTCCAGTACTTGCTGCTGAACTGGGACTGCCTATACCTGTGCCTCTTTGGGGCTGACTGGGGACTCTTGACCTTTCGGAGATTGATGGGCTGCCCCTTAGGACTGTCAAAGGTCAAGTTGACTCTTCGAGGACTGACTAGACCACGACTGACTTGACCTTTCAGAGGAAGTACAGCTGGACCTACAGACGACCTCCAGGACTGCTATAGGACAGGTCTACGGCTCGAATTTACACGACCGAGACTACACACACAAAACGATTGCACATGGGTTTAGGGACAGATCGCGGGCTCAAAATTCACAGGGTCAACGGACAAGGGGTGGTCTGGGGATCGAGTCCTGGTATCTGCAATTGTCGTGTGAACTGGGTGAAGCCGTCCTTAATTTGAGGTCCTCTGAGAGCTCTTGAATTCAAGGCAGGACCTTTACCTTTTCTTGCTCTTTTGTAAGCATACACTATGTTGCGAGCGGTTTCTAGAAGCTCGGTCCTTGTGAATCATCTGTCGCCCTCAGGTTCCTGGTAAGCGAACCTGACTTTGTACTGCTTCTGGGGACGACCTCTACCTCCAGTTCGGAATGCATCTTCTTCTAGTATTCGGTCTATGTCATAGGTGCCATCCATATCTGGCGGAATCATTGATTTCTGCGAAGGAAACTGTTGATTGGTGACACAAGGTAACGATTTCGATGCATGAAAGACCGGATATGTATGGAGGTCAGGTGGAATCTCTATCGTATATGATGGTCCATCCTCTCCACCTATGACTTCTAGGACAGGCCACGGCCCTCTATACGCGGGCAAGAGCTCTGAGCTTCTGCGAGATGTTTTCTTCTGGTGCGAATTCCTTTGACTTGACCCAGACTAAGTCGCCTGCCCTGAATTGTGAGGGTCTGCGATGCTTATTCGCTTATGCAATCATGCGATGCTGGGATTTTCTAAGGTTTTCGATCACCCTCCGAACTTCCTTCTCGTGCTGCAGAACAGACTCTCTTGTACCGGGCAGTAACCTTTGAATCTGGTCCTGGTTAAGTCCTTCAAACGGCCTACGTGGTCTAAAAGACTTATGCAGCTAGGAGTCCTGCAAGTAGCTAGGTGTACGCTTTTGTTGTAGGCACTAGCTACTTTGGGAAGCATCTCGTCCCAATTCACTTGATCTGGATGACGATCGGATGACATCAACAGCTTAGAACCGTAAACTTTCATGAGATGTTGCCAGTTCTGGCTGGTAAACCGCGTTTCTCTATCGCTAACTATTGACAGCGGTATGCCATGCTCACGTACCCAGAAATCAAAGAACTTCTCTATGACTAAATCGGTTCTGGCCTCTGCGGGCAAAGGTACGAAAACGGCATACTTTCTAAATCGATCTATTACAACCATGACTTGTTCCATGCCCTCTCCTGACCCCTGTATCCATGAAGTCAATGGAAACAGACTCTCCGGGTCCTGCTGGGATAGGCAAGGGTCTAAGAAGGCCTGGAAGTGCTCTTGTCATTGTTTTGTTGCGCTGGCAGACTTTGCAGCCGCGGACATACTCTATATAGTCGGCTTTCATGCCAGGCCATGTATACGGCATCAATAGGCTGGCTAATGTCTTTTGCCAGCCGAAATGTCCTTCTGTATCATGGCATTCCCCTAAGAGCAAACTGCGGATCTCTTCATTAGTGGGGACACATAATCCATCAACGACATCGGTTTTGTCAGAGAGTTGCCCGTTCGTGGTTCTATAATCTGGCTCACTATCAGGGGTTTCCTTAACTCTTCTTAGGAGATCACTATAGATTGGGTCCTGGCATATGCATCTTTTATTTTCTGCTGTAGATCTACCCCTATGTCCAGATAATGCACTATTGCCCCAAAGTAATCAGCTCTCCTACTTCATGGGCTTGAGCTCAAAGTCTAACTGGTCTATCTCTGCTGCCCACCTAGTCAACTTGGGTGTCATCTTGGCTTGCGTCTTCAGCCATCTCAGTGGTCATGATCTGAGTAGACTTTAAAGTGCCTCCCAAGCAGGTAATGTCTCCAATGATCTAAGGCCTGCCTGAGAGCGTGGAGTGCTCTTTTATATGTCGAGGCGGCTACTTTTTCTGAAGGCAGCCTGTCTGACATGAACTCTATGGGTCTATAGCCATTGCCGTCATTCTGCTGTAACACAGCACCTATGCCATATTGGCTTGCGTCTGTCGTGACGACGAAGGGTAATGAGGGATCAGCTACCTCGAGGACAGGATTTTCTACTAAGGCCTTCTTTAACTTCTTGAAGACCGAGGTACAGTCTTTGGGGTGTTGGGGGGTTGTATGGGCGTATTGGGGGCGGGTATGGAGGTGTTGGTGGGGTTATTGGGGGTTCTGGAACCACCCCCCCCCCCCCCCCCACCCCCCCCCCCCCACAAAAAAAAAAAAAAAAAAAAAGCAATTGCAGGGTGCCGACAACTCCCGACCGGTAGGTGCAGTCAAGGGCACCAACCGTTGGGGTATGGAACACTGGCAGACATCTGACATACCAAATTTGACAAGTTTTGCCTGAGGTTCTTGTTGAGTTTTGCAACCAAATTCGACAAGAAATCGAAAACGAGTGCTTAGAGGGAGCTGCACGGAAAAGTTGTTCCGGAAACTCGTTGTACAAGGTATGTGCGTTGTGTTCAAAATTCAAATATAACGTACCCCAGACGTTCTCTTCATACACAACGTACATATGTTTTTTTCGGGTTAAGAATGTTGCCTCCCTCTTCACTCTGACTCCTTTCATAGCGTGCAAGTGTGCTGTTAAAGCACCACGAGGAGCTGGCGCAAACCACAATCAACGTGGCCAGCCTTGTACATGAGAGGCAAGTGTCCGTTAAAGCACCACAGAGAGGAGTTGGCACAAACCAGAACCAACGTGGTCAGCCTTGTACAGACAGGAGAGGCACAGTAAAAAGGGTGCTGCAAGAACAAAGAGGGGTACCTCTAAGAAAGCCAAAGTAAAGAAAGTCAAGAAAGGCATACAACATAGCTATTCTGCTCCACGTTGCTTGCCATAGTGGTAAAACTGTTTCTGTTGGAATGACTCATCTCAAGTGTGCTCCGGTTTCTGCAATAGCAGTAAAGCTGCATCGATTTTGGATCTACTCATCTGGGTGGAACAGGGGCTGTTGTGGTGAAAATCGAAAAAACACACACACACCATGGTAACCGTCCCGACGTCCGGACCGGGTTCCAGACAGTCCGGTGTCCGGTGTCTGGTCCTGATGTCCGGATGGAGGCCCCTGGGGAGAAAATAAAAAAAAAAGGGGGCGGCCCAGGACGTTTATCGGGTCCTGGCCGCCCCTCGAAAAATAACGGGGTGGTTTTTCAGTGTCATTTCACCCCACCAGACAGGGCCTAGAGGTCCGGACACAAGACACTGCAGGTTTCTGGGGTGGCGGGTTTCACACAGGCCCGAGCAGTTTCAAGGCGCCCGCCGCTGCTGCCCGTTGGAGAGAGAGAGAGAGAGAGATGAGGATCTCTTATACACATCTAGATGTGTATAAGAGACAGTCTCTTCTCCATTCTGTCTGGATACGATTTTGACTATTGGTAATCATCAACTGGTTGACACTCTTCTGGACTTGCATTGTTGACAACTATCTTCATGATCTGGG